GGAGGCTCTGTGTCTGGAGGTGGATCCATTTCTTGTGGTGGTTGGAGAGATTTCTTCCAGAGAAACAATCTTAAACGTTGCTCTCTCAACTTTAATGCCTGCTTAGTAAACTTTTTACAGATTAGGGAGGAGAAAGTTTGGTGTGATTCTCCGAGGCAGAACAGGCAGCTATTATGGCCGTCTGTAAGTGGGATCTTATTAGAGCGTGCTGTGCACTTTTTGAAGGGAGGGGGTGCCATAAATGGCAGAAAGGGAAATAAACGGGAAAGGGAATGAAAAATGGGGGAGCGGTAACAAAAATATTCTCTTACGATAGAAATAAAGACGGACTTGATAGGAGATTGAGAAAATAAACAACATTGTTCTTTTTTAGGAATCCAAATGGATGAAGCAGCAGCAGCTTGAAAGAGGAAACTTCAAGTGGCGATGGCAAAAAAGAACTGAGGTAAATGTGAGGGCGGGCGGACCTCGCGGGGTGGAGGGCGGTCTTTTGCAGAATTAGCATAAAGCTTGAGAATATTCCGGAGATCTCTGCGCAGGCGCAGATTTAACCCATTAGTGTACATTCACAGAGACCATGATGAAGAACCACAAATTTCCTGGTATTTGGATTTATTCAGAATTGCATAAAGGTGAGGGTTTTTTTTTTAAAAAAAGTCTAATGCAGGAAAGGTGAAATTGACATATCCCACCAGTTCATGCTGATGTAGTAATCGTGGTTAGGAAATGCACATCTAAGCAGCACCCCGGAAGTCTGAATACAGAGAAGATTCTCATGGAGAAAACTCTTGTGTTGCTCAAATAGGAAGCCTCCCACCTAGATGCCAAAAAAATCAGTTATACCTGATTTTTTTCACTAATGGTGGAGGTTAAGAGGACATTTAAGAGGGTCCTGTTTAGCAGGACAACTGCTGTGTGGAAGTGTACCTCGCAGGTAGGAAAGATGTTGCACAGGGATTTAGTCCAGAATGGCTATGTAAAGTTATGCTTAGTGGGAAAATGTTCAAACAGGCAAACATCATAATTAAATTATTCAGCTGCCTGCATCATCAAAGACTATTCTTTCCATTTTAATTGCTTTGGATAAGCAAATAGGTATGGCACAAAGAGAGTTTTAGTCCTATCATTAATTCCTTCAAAAGAAACTTTTCGTCTAGGAGAGCAAACTTTCTGAACCTTGAAATCCTTCCCTGGACCACAGACAGCAGCCAGATAATAAAACAGAGCCCTTGATAAGCACAAGGCTTCTCCTTTGGGTTTTGCTCTTCAGTTCAGCAGGCGTTCTACTCAGGTGTACATAATATTCAGCAGGCACTTCTCTAACAACTACCAACACAGCATAAGATGCTATAAAAGAAAGCCTAATGACTACATGTGCATTTATATGTCAACAAGAAGCAAGCTTTGGGCTTCTGGCTTGCTGCCAGTAGAGCTCAAGGTGCAGTAAAATCTGGCCTCTTCAGAATTAAAGATGAACCCTGTCCACATTTATTGCCCTGCATGTTATTTACTGCTCTGTGCAATGAACAAAGGCACTGAAATCAGAGAGATGTTTTGGAAACTTTTACTGGATAAGGAATGCCCTGTTTCCCTGAAAATAAGACCTAACTTGAAAATAAGCCCTAGTATAATTTTTCAGGATGCTTGTAATCTAAGCCCTATCCCAAGAATAAGCCCTAGCTAAGTGAAAACCCACCCTCCACCATTGTGCAGCAACCAGAATATGACATGGCTGCATTCAAATAAATGTAGATAGCTGTACATGAAAAAAAAAAAACACATCCCCTGAAAATAAGCCCTAATGCATTTTTTGGAGCAAAAATGAATATAGGACCCTGTCTTATTTTCAGGGAAACATGGTAGTAAAGACATATGTGTAATCTGTCCTGCAGAAACTAACTCAAGCAGAACGAAGCTTTATTTCTGTGGGTGGAGGGGAGAGAAAATTAAACCAGGGAGGTCACAACTCTGTTTATATGTGCTGGCAACGATGGATAGTTTACTGAGGTGCTAAGCAGTTAGCTTCTGTCTTCCTAGCAGTGTTAGGAGTAAATATAAAATGTTGAAACAAGGCAAAGCAGAAAATCAAGGCGTGAGAGACATAGGTGCTCAACAACAGAAAAAAAAATAACTGAATGCATTTTAAAAAAACCCAACATGAATACATTTTATGCTTTTCTCTTCTTCAAAGAAATATAAATCTAATCTTGGCTTTCCGTGCCAAATGACCTTGGAGCTGTATATGTGACTGACCAGATCCTTCATCAATAGAAGCAGGAATACTCTGTCTGTGATCTTACCAAACAGATTTGTTCACATTTAGTAATTCTCCTTTGTGTCTGCCTGCTAATATGGGTGCCTGGAAACAAGACAAGGTTAGTTTAACCTGGATGGGTTAGGAGTGAGGACAGAGATGTTGAGACAAGAGTATATGATTGAGATGGAATAAGGAACAGCATGAAAATCCAGTGCTTTGACATCAAGAACTTCACCATGAACTACATGTAGTTTTGCATGCAGGATGATCTTAAGACATTTTGCTGCCACAGACAAAGTAAACCAGGGCTGCTTCAATTCAATTCATATTCACAAACTGATAAAGCTAACAACTGAATCAACACGGGCGACAGAACAATGTTCTCCGAGGCTCTGATATCACATCTACTCCCTATACCTCACTTTACCTAAAAGTCCTTACTGTGTATCTGTCTATGTGCATAATACAGCAGTATTCATAGAGAACCTTGGAGCATTCAACATGTCTTACACATGATCTCAGTCATTGTTACTGTCACGATTGCTACAATGTCCAAGTTTGGTAGTTGATAGGATCATCTCTAAACGAGACTGGCTTACTCAGGCCATGTAGTAAGTCTGCAGTCCATCTAAGAATGATCTGATCTTAAGACCTCACAAGCTCAAGCATTCAACTGCTATTCTATATAACCTCATATATCAGAGGGAAGTAGAGTGTAGCTTTGGCACTGATCAGATGCCATCTAAGGCAGTGGTCCCCAACCTTGGGCCTCCAGATGTTCTTGGACTACAACTCCCAGAAGCCTTCACCACCTGCTGGCCAGGATTTCTGGGAGTCCAAGAACATCTGGAGGCCCACGGTTGGGAACCACTGATCTAAGGCATCCCAAACTGCATGTTTTTCATCTATGAAGTAAGCAAATTCTGATTGCTGGCCTGAAGCAGCATGCACTAATGGATTTCTCTCTCTCTCTCTCTCTCTGTCTTTTATACCATTGTGTTCCTTTTTCATGTTCTTGTCTAACATAGTGATGGAGAGATGAAGTTGTTGCTTGCACTCCACGCCTAAGAACCACAACGTTGTCAGCTCAGCAGGCCGTTCAGAATGAGTTACTAAAGGAAAATGCATTGCAGAGCGGTAATTGGAGACTCTGTAGGACAGCATTACTGGCAGAATTGGCTTTCACATCCTCTATGTGAAGGATAGGCACAGCGAGTCTACCCAATGTTCCCTCCCCATGTACATGGGGGATCTTCTGTTAATACCACACAGTGAGCGGGTGAATATCACAACTGATCGCTTTTGACTGATCTAGCATAGCAAATATTTGTTTGCGGCTGAGTGAGCTGGCAGGCCTAGAACCTGCCCTGAATAGATGGGCTGGTTCAGCTTCCATGGCTCTGCTGTAGGTGGCAATTATTGCAGTACTGACAGCTGGGGAGGAAAGATGTTGGAGGGGAGGCAATCAAGATACACACAGAAACATACACAAGGTTGTACTAACTTGTATTCCTTAAGGAAAGTGTTGACTAAATTTAGAATCTAGTCTTCCTGCTCTTACTGGGGAGAAGGTCCTTAGCCATGCATCTTACCTCCCTTGCTTCAAAATATGGTAAAACAGCCTTGCATCATGGTGTGTGTGTGTGTGTGTGTGTGTGTGCGTGCGCGCGCGCGCGTGCGTGCGCACGCGTGCACACATGCTTGACCTCATTCTCCTGAGAGAATCTCTCTGGACCTCTGTCCCAAAGTTTTGCTCTGAGGGCACCACTCCAAAGAAAATGCTAATTCCAAGAAAAGACTTACTAAACTATCATCGGCTGAATGAGAACACATGACAAGAGTGTTACTTCTGTTTTCACACTTCTCTCAGCAAAAGCCAAATAGGCCGTGGGGTATTCAAAGAAACCCTTAAGAAGTGGCAGCAGTCTGAAATGGAAAGAAAGGCAGAACAGAGGGCAAGAATGTGGAGAAAACGCCAGCCTCTGTTGGTGGGCTTTCTCTCATGAGGTTCTCCCCATCCGCCAAGCACTGCCCTCAGCGCCACTCAGAACTGAGCTCAGGAGAACGTGGAGCAACAGAAACCCAGGAGGGGGTTCAGGACCCGGCGGAGGGGGGGGGGGAAAACTCCTCACCAGCACCGCCACTAGCACCTGCATCACTGCACCCAACTTCTGCTGGGCCTGGAGCGGGTCTTGCCAGGCAGTTTAACGTTCAGCGCCTCTGACTCTAGATAAGGGCGTGAGGGACGGGGAGACATGCTGGAAGGAGACGCTCTGCCCAGGGAAGCAGCCGGTAACCCGAGAACTGCGAGCCGTTCCTCCCGGAGACAAGACGTTACAGATGGATTAACTCTCCAGGCAGCTCCGGGCGGTGCCTGCGCCGCCTCAGCTTCCTGCCGGAGCCGGCGTGCCTTTCCGCGCCTTGGCTCCGGCGGCCTGAGAAGCGCGGGCCGCCGGCGCTCCTTTCCCACCGTGGCTCTAGCAGAGCGAAGCACGCAAAGGAGCGGCCGCCCGCCCGCTTGCCGGGCCTCGCTTTCCGCTTAGTCCCCCCTGCCTTGCGCCACGAATGCCCAGCCCAGGCGAGCCTCCTCGGCGGCGGCGGCGGCGGCGGCTCCTCCTCTCCAGCCTGCCCAGCTCCGCCC